TGATAAATCATAATTTAGGAACAATAAAAGCCAGGTTTCCATATAATCGTAAAACGCTATCGCCGTCTTTTCGGCGGCGACGCAGTGCTTGCCGCTTGGTAATGCAATGTTGTTAAATTTATATAGCACTTCATACTGAAGTCTCAAAGTGCTCGAGATGTGTACTGCTACAATAATTTGCTTCTCGCCTCTAAATGTCTCTTCGTGTCTGAGCTACCCGGTGAACCTGCACCAGCTACTACCTCTCGTCTGTCCACAACAGAAGCTGTATGGACCAGCAGACCGAGGTAACCCCTAATCGTTTCGAATGTAATAATGGGTTCTTCAGAAAGTGCATATGAGCCAAATTGTGAACATTGGGCCTATGTTTATAGGCCCGGTCCTTATCCGAGAATATTTGTTCCACCACATGAACCATTGGTGAGCGTGCACCGATATTATGCAGCGCATACGAATTGGAGAAACTTTCTGATTGTGTCTGACAGCTAACGCAGTGTACTGGTGATTGTTGAAAACACTGTAGCAACAGTGTAGCGATTTTATGAAAACCAAGCTTTAAAGACCTAAGTTTTTACTATGGGTATAAAGGTGCCTGAATAACAGTCAATGTTTTGTGTACAAGGAAGCTATACTCGGACCAATATGCTTTATAAATGATGCATTACGGTATGATAATTGTTGACGACAAGAAACGTGAACGAAAAATATTCTTAGTAGTGAACGAGAAAACGAAAGCCCTCTAATAATATTATAATATCTAGGCATATAACAATAACAAGCATAATTTCTGTATATTTTATATATAAAACAATAAAAGTTCTTGCATCTTGAATCTTCTATATTCGAGAGATATGCATATTCGATCAATTACTGTAAAAAGATGATTGTCCATGCACGACGGAGGAAAAAGTAACTACAAAGATTTGCACAGTCCTCCAAAAATGTTCAAACGTAGGGCTACATTGCTTATATATAGGCCTATTATATAATTGAAATCCCCGACAGAGGTCAACGACTACACAGTACTGAAATATATTGTGTTGTGATGAAAGGGTTAGATGGGCGGAACTAATGACAAGATAATCCACATAATCATGCCTGATAAAGTCAAATATACATGTCTTTTGTGGTTAAATATTTACAAAAGAAAATGCCGTCAAATAAAATCCAGATCGTTAATTCCAGTTGGGAGAATTTCTTTCTGTCGTCAATCAATAAACAGATCGGCTATCCAACGTTTAAGGTGGCAGACAAAAACGTTATAAATAATAATAATAATAATAATAATAATAATAATAATAATAATAATAATAATAATAATAATAATAATTATTATTATTATTATTAATAATCATATAATAATAATAATTAAAAACAAAACAAACAATATAAGACCACAATAAATAATGACTTTATTTAATAAAGGTTCGTGATTTTAAGTGTTGTCTAGATTCAGTGTTAATATATGACTTTCCTGTGTTAGTTTGCGTTAAACCTGCTTTCCCCTATTGGCAAGAATAAAAATAAATAAATATAGATTTAATTATTTACTCAGCTGACGATTTACGTTATAATAGTGTTGCATTTTGGTTATCAAAACCGTAGAAACATAAACACGTATTAATAACGTAATTTTGGACTACATTACGTTGTTATTAGCATTATAGTTGCATGGTGCGCCTACGTCCAAGAGTCCAAAATCATCAATTATTTAATCAAAATGCACAGAATATGAAGTCCCTGGTCGTCGGATTCCGTATATCTGCGCATTGGCCCGTGGGCATGTTTTGTCGAGGATATTCCTAAAATGTCGTTTCAAGACTAGGTCTAATAATGTAAAGAGTAGGCCTTAAGCTAATCTTGTTAAAGAAAACAATTTATCAAGCATATATATTATAAAGGGTTTACCATTTAAATTCCAAAGAGTAAATAGAACAAAGTTGCCTGAGACCTGTCAATAAAACAACCAATGCTCGCCTTCAATGGATTTGTAATTGAAACCAAAATGTACATAAACCAGTGTTTTTATAGTGCCTAACTTGTTTCTTTTTCGATTACCGGTGCATATTATTTGCTACACCCCTTAATTTTTGATTTATTATTGCCCACCTTGTTTACACGTCTGTGCTGTTTCCTTTTTTTGCCCTAAATATTTTGTTATTGAGATAAGCTCATAATTTATGCAAACTAAGTTCTTTTAGTTATTGTTTAATTGCACTTTAAAATTACTACACAGCGATTAAAAAGAAAAGATCTAAACTCTGAAAAAGCTAACCCCCAATGTAGGCCATTTTTTTTTTTTTTTTTTTTTGGAAGAGCCACTTATTTTTAGCATAGTTACATCATTATTGCTGTATTTTGCGGTGCCGGGTATTTCATACCACGGCCGTCGTAACTCGCATTTGGATGAAGAAATGATGACCGACTAGGACGTATATACTGCTGAAACTTAAAGTCGTTGCATTAGCAACTTCCAAATTTATATCTTCGGAGATTGTCTTGCTTAAAAAGAGGGCGTATCACATTCTCTGTTTCATGTGTGTGTTTTGAATACAGTGTTGTATCAGCATACCGTGAGAGCAAAATCAATTATTGTCTCCAATCGGATTCAAACTTCGAACGAAAGCCCCAGTGACCCAGGTAGTTAAGGCGCCTGCATAGACAGCTAAAGTTCCCAGGTTCGAATCCCGGTTGGGGTAGTTTTTTCGCACTTCCTCTTATTTAACGTTCATAGTTGATCGCTAGACCTACCGCACAAAAGGACTATACAATTCCAGGTCAGGTCACCGTTGTTTGACTGTCGACTAAGTCATAATTATGGACAAAGCACTGGTTAGACAGGAGGCCATAATATTGAAAGTACTTAAGCATTTTTTCGTATGCATGCTTTGTTAGAAGCTGCAACACGGTAATCTTCATCACCATCTCTTGCCCCACAATGAACTCAAATGAACTGTTGCCACGCTGAATTTTTATTTAAGTGCCAAATTTGACAAAAAAAAAAAAAAAGACAAATTTTACACGTTTTTACCCCAAAATCATATTTGGAGCTAGTCTGTTACTGGAAGATTCTTGAATATATTTGGTATTATACGAAAGCTAGTAAAGTATATCGAGTGATTTGTATAATGACACAATATGTTGATTGTGTTAAATTAACAAGATTTACCAAAAAAAAAATAAATAAAATAAAATAAAATCATATTTATGACTTTCTTTGGCTAAATTTAATAATAGGCCTACATGTTTTATTAAATAAATACGAAAAAGACTAATCTAACGACCTTTCCATTTGATAATTTTATAAAAACTGACCACATACAAAATAAAACACCTATAAAAATTTTAGACATTTTTTTATTTTGTATTTCGGCGTTATAGTATGTCAAATGTTATCTCCCGCAAAAATTGCAAATTTTACACTATTTTTTTAAAACCCAAAATAGTATTTTTAAGCTAGTATGATACTAAAAAATTCAATTTTAAATTCATACGGAAGCTATTAAAATTATATATCTAATGATTTGTATGATGATACCAAATAACTTATTTTTATGACTTTTTAGATAAATTTAAAAATACTTGTTTTATTTATGAAACTTCTTATTTGATTCTAAATTTCTTGTCATTTTTTTGGTCAAATGTAGCATTTTTCAATCCAAAATTCAGCGTGGCAACAGCCCATTATTCCGTGTGAGGCACGAGCTGGTGACGAGAATTCACCTTTTGCCAGCTTGTGAGAAATTATGCCTACGAACTAAATTTTTTGAGCACTTTCAATCAATGGCCACCCGTCTAAGTACAGTAGGCCTACTTTTATTTTTAGTACAGTTAATATATTACATCAGGTCAAACCGTGGGCACTATGAGGTAAATAATATTATAGGATTGCATGCAGACAATGTAGGTTACTAGTGTTGCGAATCGAGTAGGAGAAAGGAAAGTGGGAGTTTAGAAGAATGGTGTTCTGTCTATTGTGTTTGCATTGTTTACTACATTCTTCGCATTGTTTGATTTGGTAATACTGTACTGCACCGCATTGTTGACTTGCTCTCATTCAACCTACATTTAAGTCCGTCCGTAATATAATTAAATTATTTTTAGAATTCTGTTGGATTACTTCAGAGAAGATGTGTATAAGAGACAGAACAATATACAGCACCGCAGGCTACATATGAAGTTAATATAAAGTATATGCCTATATATAATAGTTAAATTTAACATTTCTCAAGCTAAATTAAACTTTTGTGATGTCCGACAGGGGGACCTGTCCCCCGGCCCCCTGCTGGCGCCACCCCTGCCATAGGAAGACTCAGTCCAAACAAGGGGCCAAGAGTATATGAAAAAAAAGTTGATTCTATGGTTTTTAAAGCCAATAGTCACACAATATATTTATATTCTTTAACGATACTGACATACATTGCATCTTTTCAGACTCATTAATTTTCTTAGATTAGCGAATACTTAATTTACTGAAATTTACTGAAAAAACACATTTTCACCCCAGGCCCCAAGACTCCTTACACCACTGTGTCATATGAAATTATGCCATTGGCTAGAGTAAAATTATGCTACGCCTCAAATATATACATGACTGCCAAGGATTTAACTAACATTTTTGTGCTACAGATACACGACAGTCTGGTATGCAGTACTAGTGGCGTTCAAAATAGCTTATTTGGCTAAAATCGGATTTAACACATTTGGTTGCCACACCCTTTTACCCTATTGACTCTCTAAGTGAGGTGAGAACATTTTAAAAATAAACACCACTAGATGGTCGGAAATGGCACTCACAGACTTTTTTTGCAATTTATTTTTCTAGTAATAAAATTTACATCAATTCTAAATTGCTACGTTGTAATGAAATTATGCGTAGCATTAATGCTACATGCTACGGGGGTCCAAACTATGCCAAAAAGAATATGCTACGAATGGCTGCCATGACATGTTTTCATGTCTCTGTGGTACGGTATTTTATCTTTAATGAATCGTAACAGGATGTGATACAGGTTTTGGGCATGGAGCTGCCAAGCATCTTGATGCACTTGGTTTTTATGTGTTTGCTGGCTGTCTGAAGAAGGGCGGGGATGGTGAACAAGCTCTTGTTTCTGAGTGTTCAAATCGATTGGTTACTTTACAACTGGACGTGACAAGCGATGACCAAGTGAAAGCAGCACTGGAAGTTGTTAAACAGCACCTAACTAACAAAGGTACTAGAATTGAGTCATGAACTTCAACATTTCTTTGTACTGTATATTTAAGTAAAAATTTATTCGATTTATCTTGAGGATATATCCCGCACGATTAAAATCGTAACGGTACTGGGTTTGGTCTGCAGGAGTTTTGTACAGGTTATTCCATTCATGGAAAAAGCCTTTATATTGGAGAAAGTTTACCAGTCGTTAGCCATAGTAGCCTAGGTCAATACTAACTCCGGCTATATAAAATTGATTATATAAGATTGAAAAATATTAATCTTATTATTGTAGTAGTGATACTATGTACACGTTTAGTTATTGTTATTTATTTGTTAACGTTATTTATATTTAAATTGAATGTATTGTTTAAGTATGAATGACTATGTCCATGTTAATTTAATCTTATCTATAAAAATTATATATTTAAATAATATAGTAATAAGCATAGCCGAGGTCTAGCCTAGGTTAGACCTAAACAAGTGACTATATATGTGAGTGTATAAAATTATGAAAAATATGAATAAAACGCAAAATTGTGAAAGAATAAAGGAAGAATAGGAAAGAGATTTAATAGATGTATATTAAAAATTCGAACGAAAATTCGAAATAATTATTTTGTTTACCAATTAAGAGTTTGACATTTATGATTCAGCAATTTCATGTTTTATTTAAATTTTTGATATACACAAAAGCATGTGACATTCCTAAATATGGTCATGATGACATCACATCATGACCATATAGGCACATCATGACTATATATGGGCATACAAATGTTTCGTTTCAAACTCTCATGATTTACAGCAGGGGTGGGCATAAAAATTGGTCGGAAGGCAAAAGTGAATTTTTGATTTAATACCGAGGGCCCCACCCTAATTTTGATGTTTCTATTGTGCTTCCAAAACCTTCATGCACTGCTTTTATACCACTTTATTCTCAGTATTAATATAACTTTTTATAGATGATTGGCATCGGTCCGCAAAAACAAGGTGTTTTCTATCTGGCCGCACACATAGGGTCTTTAATTCATTTTCACAGGCTGCAAAAACACCACTGTCAGACCACATGTGGCCTGCGGGCCGCACTTTGCCCACCTTCGATCTACAGTAATTACAGATGATGATTAGTGGTCATGACTGCAGGGGCGGATTTAGGACTTTGACCCCCCTGTCCCCCTTTTTGGAAAGTGAAAGGAAAAGAAATAATTGATCGGCCAAAATGCCCCAGAGTTTATTATTGGGCTTCTAGAAACCCAACAATTTTGTGGGGTCATGCCCCCAGAACCCCTAGGACAATTTTTTCTCTATCAGCCCCACTTTTGGACCCCTTTAGGTCCCCATTCCGGACATCTCTGGATCCGCTATCCGCTATCTAAGGCTGATTAAAGATGAACTATAAGTCCATAAAAGAAACATAAAAAAATTGTTTCTCACCGCTTTACAGACAAAAAAATACAGGAAAGTTGTTATTAACGGTCCGAAAATTGATGTAATTCAAATGTAGAATTTAATTTGACTGATAGTACATCTTTAAATGGACAGAGCTTTTTTTTTAGATTGGCACATACCAAATTAATTTAGATCCCAATGTAAAATGACATAAATGAATATTGAATAAAAAGATACTGATGCCTTGACTTTAAATTGAATATTTGTTCAGAACTCTGGGGTCTGGTGAACAATGCTGGTGTGTGCATCATGGTAGAGACCGAGGTCTGTTCCCTGGACATGTTTCAGAAGTTATGGGAAATAAATTGCCTAGGTCAAGTTCGAATGGTCAAAGCATTCCTTCCGCTTTTACGAAGATTTAAAGGTCGAATTGTAAATGTCACCAGTTTGTGTGGTATGTACGCAAATTCTTTTTATATTGTCATTTTTTTGCTTGCATATTTTTGTGTATTACTGTAATAATAATAATGCTTGAATATTTACATAGCAGTAATTCCAAAATATATTATCAATGGTGCTGAGCTTTATCGCCCCTGGTCATTAAATAACGTAGTCGTACAGTGGTAAACCAGCACACAAAGTTCAATTTTCTCTGCTCCCTGGGGATTATACCTAGTCATGTGCTACTTGCTTAGTGCATGAAACTAGTACATTCAATGCCACAACATCCTACCAGGTACCCATTTATACTCCTGGATGGAGAGAGAGAGAGACAAATGCAGATAAAGTGCCTTGCCCAATAAGATTTATAGAATGCACATATCCACTACATTAGTGCACAAGGCGCTACAGAAGGAAGAGCCGAAAATTTACCGTGAACCTTAAGCTACCAGAAAAGATACGGTATGCTCTCAACCAAAAGCTTGCGGAGCCTTGCTCCATTCCCCCAACCTCCCCTTGTTCATCTTACATCCACATAACGTATGTATACCAAAGACCAACTCAGCATCATGATTTGTTGCCGCATTGGGTCGGTATGAGTTAAACACCGAGGCGATATATCTGTGCCAGCGACAGTCGCTTCGTTCAATGTTAACATGTTTAATATTCGCCGACCTAAACACTGCCCCTGACGATAAATCGAGTTGGCCTTAATACTCTTGGAAAACACTGAATGCTTGTCTTTTGAATTCAGCTCAGTTGTATACTCCAAGCCTTCCAGCCTATTGCTCCTCAAAAGCTGCAGCGGCCATGTTTACTGATGTACTGCGGAATGAAGTAAAGAAATGGGGAATAAACGTCTCTTCTATAGAACCAGCTGGATTTAAAACTGGTATGAATTTCATTTCATATTATCAACTATGAAAAAAAGTTATTTTTTTAAAGTAAATTTTAATTGATGTGCTGTATAACAAAAGACAACAACAACCTATAATTTTAAAAATATTCTTTCTTTCTATTCTGCTTTTCATACTTCAGCTGCCACCACGTCAGGTCTGATGCAGCAGACAATAACAGATATGAAGGAACGGCTGCCTGCAGAGTTGCGTCCCATCTATGGAGACCACTACTTCAATGTCATGCAAAGTCGGTTGTACAAGGAAAATGATCCCAGATTGGAAACTGATCTCACTTCTGTATACCATGCCATAACTCATGCTCTTCTAGCCAGACGCTCAAAGACACGTTACGTTTGTGGATATTTTGCACCAGTTCTTGCCTGGATGTTCAACCACTTACCAAACCCAGTTCTTGATTTCATAGCCAGTTTTTCGGGAACGTTGGTAACAAAAGCTGATATAGTCCCGAACGGAAACAAAAAGTCACAAACTAGTACAAAAAATGCTGCTGTAAAACAAGACTGAGCGCAAAGTATTACTGTGTTGTAAATTTGTTGATATTTAATTTGCCAAGATCATGCCTGTTTGCTTTCCTACCATGTGCTAAAAACAAATCGTGTTCTCAATGGGTCTATGATTACTAGAAATTTGTTAATTTTTATATTTATTTTATCTCTGCAGATGTAGGTTTTTGCATTTTATGAATTTGTATTAGAATTAGAAACTTGGGTACAAGTATGGAAAAAGAACTGGTTTTAGGAAGAAAGCTTAAATATTTGACATCATGAGACTGCCTTCTGCTCATTAAAACTTACATGTAACATACATCTGAGCACTTTTTAATTACTTTTAAAGATGTACTGTCCCTTGAAATGACCAAAAATAATTTTTAAATTAACTTGTTCATTTTGCAGTAACATACAAATTATTAACTTGAGCATAGAATTCCCAGATTTTTTAACTGGATAACTATAATAAAGATAATAAAACATTTCCAGTGACTGGAAGTGTTTCTATCATTTTTTCACTGTAAAATCATGGTTTTTATGGGTATGCATTTTTTAAATACACTAATTTCTATGTTCAAGTTGATAATTTTAATGTTACTTCAAAATGGGTAAGTAAATTTCAAAAATGATTTTTTTTCGTTTTTTGCAAGGGACATTACATCTTTAAACTTGTGCCAAATTATTAGAATATTAAGTGTAATAAACACTATGTTGGGAGAAAAAAAAAATAAAACAAATTTGGTCATGATAAAAAAATTAGAGACAGGAATTGAACCTATTGGAAGGCAGGCATCTAACCGCAAAGTTGTATCTGTACGTCTCCACTATTATCAGCATTGTCAAGTTGGTAGCGATTGCAGCATTTCAGATAATTGTCGCTTCAGGGTCCCTCCTCCTTACGGGAGAAATGAGCTTTGTGTTGTTTGGAGTGTTTCCTTATCTGTTGTGGGTCCAGGGGTTATAAACCCTGGAAGCTTTCGAGATTTAGCAGTTTTTAGCTCTGTTTTGTAAGTAATTGCACTCTTGCTTAGTGATTTTTTATTAAATTATACTTTGCTACCCATGGTGTACTGATCGGCAATGACTTCCGTGAGAAAATTGATAACAAAGCAGTAAAAACTTGCAAATATTATGAATTTGCGGGATATGGGTTATTTTCCGGGAGATTTTTGCTTGCTTGTGGGAGGCTGTCCTGATTTCCGGGAGAGTCCTGGAAAAATTTTGATCCCTGATACTTTATACACTCCAGTGGAATATTTCGTAATCCAAACAAAACTATTCTTATTTTTGTACAGTAAATAAACTTATTTTTTAGTTAACTTATAAATAATATGTATTGTAAGATTAACTTTTCAAAAGAATGAAACATTAAATGTGGTTAAATACTTTTTTTTTTTTATCATGATTAATAAGTGATTACTCCATACTACTGTACTTTCATCAAATAATGAATTTATATTTTTAAAATGACCAATCGGGTATAGTCATGAGTATGCATTAATACATAATAGATAATTAAATTTTATTTAAAATGTTGAACTTACTTTAATTAGTAGAGGAAGAACAAGTAACAAGCGTGTTGGTGTTGCATATAAATACAGCATTGTCAAAGTTTGAATAAATATGTACAATTTACTTTTTAATTTACAGTAGTTAGTACTTATTAGAGATACATTCCTTAGCATTATTCATTTAAAAAAAATTATTTTTGTATTTTTATGAAGATAAAAACATCCGGATCTATTAATTTATATACAACTGTAATACAATCGGAATGCCATTAAATAAGAAATAAAAAGACAGTGGTCTTGTAAAAATCAGGTATTAAATAAAATGTTTTGTTGAGAAAGTAATAAAAAAGTTGTTGACAACAGCTCAGGATTAAGCATGAACAAATAGTAGGCAGTGAAGTCTCTATTACTAGAAACCAGGAAGCACAAAGTGTGGGTGACAGTGTTAACTCTTACTGGAACATTGCCAAAGTTGTGAGTAAAAGTATTAGTGCATCTCTGTACACAAAACTGCTACATTCTTATGCAAATTACTCAAGTTTAACATTTAGCGACATTACGCTCGTTTTGGGATGGCAAGCCTCAAATATGCTTTGTGTTTTAAGCAATAAAGTAGATTTTTAGAAAATCTACATTTCATTATCTTAAAAAAAAATTATTAATTGAAAGAGTATGGAATATTAGATAGTATAATACATACTCCAAGTATCGAAATGCACGCCATCGTGTTGGGATTCAATATTTGGACATCAATTTGGCATCATTCCTGATGATGACATAATTAACGTCGAAATATTGAATCCCAACACGATGGCGTGCATTTTGATACTTGGGAGTATGTATTATACTATCTTATGAGATTAATCAGTGGACCTTTCGGTTTTATGGAATATTAATTTGTATATTTTGTGGGAAGTATAAATTCCACCTCCAGGTAGTTAAACTGAAGCATTGATAGATTTGATGTCTAAAAATTATGAAATATACCGGTAAATTTGCCTACTTACTTTTGTCTTGGTGCTCAAGTATTTTAAAAATTTTGTATGCAATTGTAAAATGTGAAAATGCTTTTTCATTAAATAGTGTCCTCACTGAGAATTATGGTTTTGTTAGATGTAGGTTTTGTTTAATGTTTATCAAACATTGTTTTCTTGACCGTACAACTAATCACATTAGATAGAATCATTTTGGGTGGAATTCCCTACCCTTCTGAAGAGTGTATCAAGTACTATAATGCGCGGAAAGTTGAATGCGAAAAAAAACAATGCACTTCTGCGGTGGCTTCAGATCTTACAGTGAGGGTGCGCTATCATAACTTGATATCCACACAGCGATGGGAATCAAACCGTGGACCAAGAGATGTCAATGGTTCAGCGCACACATAGTGGCTATCACCAGTTTAGCCGACTGAGCTTTTCCAAAGCAATTTACTTTGTGGAAATGACTGACTTCTTTTCTGAGGGGGCATCTTGTGTGTAACTGGAAACGGCCAACAGATTTGAAAAGCAAAAGTAACATTGCATTTTTGATCCATGAGTAAATTCAATTTGGTTGTAATAAAGAATGCAACAACAATTCAAATTTGTACAAAATCAGTTTGTATTTATATCATCTTCAGGTGAACACATCAAAATATCAACAAAGTACACAAGCACAAAAATGTGCACATCCACTGCCTTCCGAAAGGTGGATTAGAAATTCAATATCCAGTGCCCATTTAATTGTTAAGACTCATATTTTTTTTCAACAAAAAACTGTTGTATGTCTATATATAGTCATGATGCACCTATATTATGGTCATTATGTGATGTCATCAAAACTATATTCAGGCAGATCAAATAGTTTCATCTGATTATTGTGATGTATGAGACACGGTATATTCTTGTAGTAGCAAACCAAAAATTAGCAACCAACAAACCAGTTACTGTCTGATGAAAGTCAATAGACACATTCCACTAGGTTGGTCATGTGACATATAATGGGTATCAATTGTAAACAAGCAGCAGGAGCGACGCTAGGTAATAGCAAAACGTATGGCTTCTTCTGAGTGCGCTGTAAAGCATATATTTGATTGGATTGGATTTATTCGGTGTAAACACCAAGGATAGCCAACTAAAGTTTAGAAGAAGACTTATTTCCAGTGGGGTCCTTCTGGTGGTGATTGGGCAATACACCGGGAGACAATCCCCTACTCTTTTCTGAAGAGTGTACTGCGTTATTAACGTGCACATGGGCCATAAATGCATGTGGGACCAACAGCTTGGATGTCTCATCCGAAAGACCGTGTGTTATTGTAACTTGTATTTCAGACCTCCAGCTGAAACACAAGGAGAGCAACGATGGGAATTGAACCGGGGACCTAGAGATCTCCATGGTTCAGCGCACACACAGTGGCTACCACAAGATTAGCCAACTGAGCTAAGCTGTTGAATAACGTTGGTTGGAATGCCATTAACTATACCAAATTGATTGGAAATTGAGATTTAGAGTTTTGCCATAATGGTTTGCTAATCATCCAAAAGATACTGGCCCCAAACTTTGATTTTTTTGAGAAATTGCTAAGCCTAGGTTCCTGAGTATATACGTCCTGTTTAGGTATGCACAAGCATCTGACCCGCAACTGTGATTTTGACACGCTACGATTTCTAGCTTAGGTTTACAAGAAATCACATAAATTCAAAAGCATACAAAGCACATTGAACGCTAGAATGAATTAATTTGCACTATATTTTGAACAATCGCAGTGCCTTTCCTTGCCATTTATTTCTCATGTTAATGGTGGGCAAATGTTTTCGAAACCATAATAGTACCCTTTCCTATACTTTAACACTGATCGCATTGTAAATTCTGCATAGTGATACCCACTATATGTCACAGGGACCGGCTGTAAACAAAACTCACAGAATGTGTTTATTGACAACAGATCGAAACATCCCAAACAGTACATATATTCTTTGGTTTACTTACAAGAATTTTTTCATGTTTCAACATGCCGCAACATGTTAGAGAACAGATTCTCCAAGTTACTGACTACTTAAGTCAGTAAAATGCTAGATTCAAGAAACGGGTTCAAAACATATTAGAAAGTATAAATGTTTTTATAGTTGCTTGAAGTAAGAAATAGAAATTGATACATTAACTTGTCTATTATCTACCAGTAATAACCTATAAATCACCTTCCTCAAAATTAGTTTATTTATTTATGTTTAGTCAACTTATTAATGCATTCAATTTGTCAAGCATTCACAATTTTTTAAAATGAATACGCACCATTCTAAAATGCTAGCCCATGTTCCATTTTGACTACAACATCATTTGCATACAAACCAGACAGAAACTAGGAGTCAAAAGGATAGCCATAAGCTCATAATTGTTTTAGCTTGTCTCTATTTAGTTTAATATTTATGTAATAATAATAAGTTATTAATTTACAGTATGACCAAAGGTAAGACATGATGAGCTTAGCAAAAAAACATGAGGTAACTGAGTATATAAAAAACAAGGCCTAGATCAACAGAGGTGTGGGTTGACATAGATAAACAGAAAAAAACGCCTGGATCATCAGAGGCTAGGTAAATATTGTGTGATAACCTTTTATATAAGGAATGTTCTCAGTAGATGATGTCACAAAGCAATCAGGATATTTCCATTTCTTTATCTGGAAGAAATTAAAATATTAACATTCAACAAAACATACTACATATCTACCTTTTATTGTTTTTGTTTGGTATGGACATGATGTGAATTGAAATAATGAGAATTGGATAATATTAAAGTCTGCTGGTTAAATTTCAATAAATTCCTATCTGTAGTCCGATGAGTTAAACGAGGTAACAGTGTCATCAGAGTTGAACTACATTCTATCTAGTTCTTCAACAGTGCAAGGCATTCTGTGGTAACAGAAGCAGATGATCATGTTTTGTACTCTTCCTATACAAATTCAAAAATGTAATCATTCTGAACTCTCTATCCTGCAAATACCTAAAAAGAGTAAAAAATTACAAGTGTGTGGAACAGCATGTAAGGCGTTAGGCTTTCAATTGGAAAGTTGTGGGTTCGAGACCGATGCTTGTCACACTGCTTGTGTCAGTGGGCAATACAAGTGGGTACCTGGTAGGAGGTGAATGATTCAGAATGAAATTAGTAGTGCTGATTACACGCACAACTAGGAATACTCCCCAGGGAACGGAGGAGGTTGCACGTTGTGTATGATTGATTCTGTACCCAATAACCTAGGAAAAAATACCTTGAGCAGTTTTATGGAAATGTGCACTATATAACTCCTATTAGTATTAAATAAAATAATAAATAACTAAGAGGCATAAAACAATGAAAAAAGTAAGAGATTATAAGAGTGTGAAATATTAGAGCGAGTGATTATGAAGAGCATATTTGTAGGGAGAGTGAGATTAGAGGAAAAGATAATTTCTGACGGAGTGGTGAGGGATTAGAGAGAGTGTTAATATCTACATACCTGAAACTTCACTGAACATGAATTCCTGTTGGTATTCCTTGAGGAATTGAGTGGATCGCGACACATCCAGGAACAGTGAGTAGACCCGCTTTATATCCTCAATGGCAATTTCTGTGCCCTGAAAAAAGAAAAAAAAAAACACAAACCAAACAATGATGTTAGGCTATAAGTATCAAAAATACATATAATTAGGAAATACTATGTTTTTTTAAAAATATTGTTTAAAATTTATTGCATGAAAAAATGCATTAAACATAGTGACAATGAGTGGGACACAGAACAATTGGTGTCAAGTTTTCACTGTAAAAATATGGGCATTGAGGACAGATCTATTCAGCCTGGCAAGATTGTGGTAAGGAAGAAAAATGGTCTTCTGTTCCTGTGAACAGATCACTATAAGCGGTTGGTGCATCAGTCGTGGCTTGGTGTCCAAACATTGAGGCCAGGGGTTCAAAAGTGTCGCTGTGCAAATCACTTGTGTCTCTGGGCAAGGCACTTTATCTATGCTTGTGTCTCTCTACCCAGGAGTATATGGGTACCTGGTAGGATGTTGTGGCATTTCATATGCTAGTATAAGCGCACAACTACGTTACACTCCCCAATGGGACAGAGACGGTTGCACTTTTTGCTGGTTTGCCAGTGATCAGAGGTTAACACTCATTCAATTTGGAATTGGCACTATATAAATATTTGGCATTATTATTATTATAAGAGTTCTAGCAGAGAGCAAAAGGAATAATCATCAGCAACACAGCAATGATGAGGCAGGGTTGAGTTAAGGATGATTGATTATTCCAATGAATTTCACATGAATCTTGCCCAAGCGATCATAAGTCATGACACTTGTTAAAAACTGATTTCTTTATTTCTACATTATTGCTTTACCTTCCGTTTCCGGCAAACCAGACTGGATGCTGTGATCAACTGAATTGCGTAACGTAATGACGTTTCCATTCCAATACGAGTTAAAACAGTAATAGCATCATCAGACATCTCTACATCTTCTTCCTCACACCTGAATATATGCAAGACATATTTTTAGTACAGTTAACAACAGTAAGATTTTACTCCTGGTTAGCCATCTTAAGTTCACATTAAATAAATTTAAGTTCACATTAGGATAAATTTGACCAAGACAACAGGTAACTTGACCGTGGTTAAATCTTAATGCTATTCGCACTTTGATTTAAATATGCAGTAGGTTTCAGGTGTGATTTATTATGAATTGTTTAGCAAAAATTATGATTAAAATATTTTCATTGAAGGGCAAAAAAAAAAAAAAAAAATATGTGATCTTAGTGGAAAAACAGCCTATTTTTTTTCCAAACAACCTATTTAAAAAAAAAACTGAACAACATTGACTGAGTTAAACAGACCAGGGAAAATGTTACACTGGTTGTAACCAGATGCAGTAGTAGTTTTACCTATCTATTAAGTTATCTTTAATATTTGGAATGTTACAAGTGCTGTTCTATAGATTTCAATTTCAAGTTTTACAACTACATACATACTTCCTATTTTTGAAAAGCTTAGCATTGACCTTCCTATATTCCATAGTAGAATTCTGAGACTTGGGCGGAAGAGTGGGGTGTATAATATCACAATATACTGATTTAATGTATCCAAAATTTTTTTCAAGCAATAGGAGGACCAGTGCTGCATGTGTGCAAAAAATCATAACAAACGTGTTTGGAAATTCATCTTTGGTGACGTCACATGCACATAGACAGATGCATACATGCACACACATACATACACTATGAAGATCGCAATGGTTCCTATTAAAGTTAATAGGAACCAAAAAATTCAATTGAAACAATGATGTATACCTGATTTTAATGATCTGTTGGAGTTCTTTCTCTGAATATGGACTGGTGGAAACAATGAGTAGACGGTCCAGCAAATCAATAGGAATTCCATGTGGACTTTGATGGTTTGTGCCACGAATCCTGGAAACAAAATAATTCAATGTCTTTTAAAAGATGATTTACTTAAATATATCCTTAACATGTTCGCTGCCAGAGACGAGTATACTTGTCCCACAGGGTGTTTCTGAGGGTGCTAGGGACGACTGTACTAGTCAAAATAGGGGTAACATTCTAGTGTTTATTACTTCTTTGTTATACATTTCAGAACCACAGACTCAACGGCTGGTAATTCAGGAAAGACACACCTTAGGTGATAACCTACAAATAACGTATGTACGTTTGTTGTGTTATGTTGCCGGCAGTACACTCGATTGCACGAGTGGGGGCCCTCTGAAGATTTACCAACCCATGCAGAAAGCGGAAGAGAAAATTTGCACTTGGCAAAGGCAATAAAAAGTGCTGTCCTCGTGCCAGCGACGAGTTAACTTGTCCCCTAATATTTCCCCGCCAATTTATTAGACACACCATTTTGATGATACATGATAAAATTTCAAAAAGGTATGTTTGTACATCTATAAATAGTTTTGGCATACGGAAAGACACCTAAAAAAAAAAAAAAAAGGTCTGGTAGTCTAACGTGTTAATAGCAGATTAACATCTATATTTTTTTCAAATATCTAGTTTGTAACAGTTAAATTGTATTAATGAATTGTACTGTATGCTTTTAATTCCAATAAAGAAATTACATAAAAAATGTATCAACAATACTACATGTCTCCCTCCAATTAAAAACCAATTTTTTGGGACTGGGATTTCCATGGTCTTAATAGCAGGTTTAGTCTTTAATTAGCATAATAAAGATAAAAGACATTTGTTGATAATTGATTGATTGATTGAATTTACTTTGTTAATTTGGGAGCACAGAAAAGAGGTCTTTCTTTGAGGTGGTCTTTCAGTGGAGGAGTCTTCAATAGAGAGACACCTGTGTATTCCCTTTAATTATCTTATTCAATATCTGATCATGGTCATCACCACAGGCTGGTTGTCAATACAGGTGTTCACTCATACAGGTGTACAACTGCTGTCTCTTGATTAAATTGAAATTATTTGATACTCTTTTTCAAAACTGACATACTTGAATTAGTAGGGCCTACTTTAATTTTTCACTTAGAACGGGTCCAATACAGCTCATCATGGTGACAAGTGATTGTGACAACAGGCGACAATGTTACTCACCTTGTGATTCCTCTGTTGGTGGCCATGATGAGAATCGGTGCCATGTCACTTTCCAAGGCTCGGTTCAGAAAAGAGAAACACTCAATATCAAGCATATGCACTTCATCTACAAACAATACCTTTAATCAGAGAAAAGATAAAGAGTGTCGCATTAAAAACATGAGAACCAGGCCTGATGAGCACATAGGTACATTAATAAAAAAAAAAAGAAGAAATTGTCATATTAGCAAAGGTAAATTAGTCACATTAACGTGAGGAATATTTTTTCATAATTAGCAATAACACAATATTTTCCAGTTATTAAGGAGAGAGACATCATTATGGTTGCATCACTTAAAAGAAAGTCAATCGTACATTATCAGCAAAAGGTAACATTGTCATATTAACTAAATTAAAATATTTGTCATATTATTAGAAAATAACATTGTTATATTGTCACAATATTAACAAGACGAACATAATATTACAGTATTCACTATAAAACATTATAATATTCAAAAGGCAATTACCACAATAGAAAAACTTGTCACATTATAGCACAAAAACTAACTTTATTAACATTAACAAACATTGTCACATTATAATCACTGTTAGAAAATCTGAAATGATTAATCTGTAAATAATGATAAATTTCTGAACAAATATTTTTGCACTAAGAGCAATGTTATAAACAAATATATTACAAATATATTAACATAAAAACTTGCAAGGTAACATAACATTATCATTGCAACTTACCCCCGGAACTATGTCTGCCTTTCCTTCTTCTCTCCATTCAGCAACTTTAGCATTGATCTGCTCCCTAACTTCAGGTTTAATTTCGCCAGTGTCGCCTAGAAAAAAAAAACACAAGCAAAGTTTTCCTTTAATAACTTACATAAAAGAAGAATGAGCTCTTTGCCAAGTTTACTACTAAGCCCGGCACTCACTCGTCGTACGACGAATGTAACTTCCTCCCTATAAGCGCTGGACGACGCGATGCTGTCTGTTGATTGTCGGTGGTCGTCTGAACAGATAGTCATTAAAAATGATCCGTTGCAAGTGCATTGTTGCGTTGCGCCCCTCATAGAATCGCGTTGGCCGACGACTGTCAGATGCAGTGAGTGCACGCCTTTAGACAGAGTTGAGAAACTAACAGGAAAAACAAACTTGAAAAATCATACGATAGGCAAGGGCGCCACCATGGAGTCAGGGACTATGTAACACGGATGTTGTTTCACAAGTTTTGGGCTCAGCTATATCATTGTCCTATTATCTTTGTTAATAATAATCAATAAAAAATATTTATGCAATACATAAAATAGCAGAATAAAATTACTTTACTCAACATGCTTCACATTATTATAATCGTGGAAGCAGTTTGGTACAGTGGTAAAGGTTTGGTTTTCTAAACTCGAGATCGGAGTTTCAATCCCTCACTGTGAATCTCCCTTGCGTCCTTGAGGAATGCACTTTATCTGTGTTTCTCCTCCCCACACCCAGGAGTATAAATGGGTACCTGAGGAGGTTGGAGTTAAAAAAATATGGAATTTCCTCAAAGGCATCGTTGCAATGACTGGGGTAGTAATGTTGAAAAATGTACATATTTTTATTATAATCAAAGTAAAATCTTAACACTACAACAGTATCAAGCTTACCTGAAAACAGGGCGAGAAATCCCTGTGTACGACTATTAATAACATCAATTTCGTGTAACGTGACGGTGTGAACGACCTCCTTTCTCTTCTGCAGCTCCCCTTCAGGACACTGAACAAACTTAGTCTGCAAGTAGAAAACAAAAAGATTTTTGAAATCAGTGCAGCCATAGCTTGGTGGGCTGAGATACAACTTTTGTTACTGTAGGTGACAATATTTTTCTCATGATTACAAGCACCTCTACTCCCTATGCCTATATTTTTTTTTTCTCACAACTAAAAGACACTCCACTCTATATGTTTCACTTTGAGATTTGTGCTACAGAACATTGCAGGGTGCAATTCCGGTCTGTGTGTCACTTGCTACCGAAGAAAAAAATATGGAAAAAAATAAATAGATGTATGCTGGCATGTAACATGAATGTCTATACCTCTGCACGGTACTGTAGGAAACTTTATTTCAAAAAATACATTTTCAGATGATTTCCTATATCTTGTGTTTCAAGGGGAAAGTGCAATTGTTTTGCTTATATTTTTTACACTGAAAATGAGAAAAATCAGTGGTGGACACAGGAGGTGACAAACGAGGAGCTTGTCTCTGGTAGTAACCACAAAATAATGAAGGAATGAAATCATTTAGGTACAGAATAAAAAGGTTAAAACTCCTAAGATTTTAGGAGGCATAGCCACAGTATCCATCCTGCTGTCAGGTAAGGGAACATCTCAAAATATTCCTTTCTTGCCTATGATTGCCACAAGTGCCACCACAGCAAAAAATTCTGGACTCATCGCTGAAAAATATTTATATATTAGTACCACAACAGAACCAATATATCATAATCTTTGCATAGATAATGAGCTACTTAGCACTAAACTAAGGTAACTACAACTGTGCCCACCTGAGGCCCCATTGCATCATAGTCACGGGCACGGGTGAAACTTCGGCCTAGTTTGGTAATTTTTCCTGTAGCTTTATCGATTGTGATAATGTCTCTAATGTAAGAAAAAAAAAATGGAACAAAATATGTTAATAAGGAAACACATTATAAAAGTAATGATATTTTAATTATTCTGGACAAACATAACAAAGATGTAATGAAAATTCTTTTATTGGTTACAATATATATTGTATAAAAACACAATATATAGCAATTATAAGAATACCTTGAATTTAGAATAAAAAAAGTATAGTATAGTATAGTATCTGTCTCTTATACACATCTATAGACTGCTTTTTGTGTCTTTAAGGCAAGTAATGTCTGTTTTGTGTCATGCTGCAAGTGAACACCACTATTATTCAATCCTTCGAGGTCTTGTTACCTGAAGATGCTATTCTACTTGTGTCCCACCTAGGAGCCCTCTATAAAAATTCCCGTCTCATTGCAAATGAAAATGTCCTTTGGTTCAAGTCCGGGTGCCATAGTGGTTAGGCGGGTAAAATTTGGTGCATAACTGTTTTCGTTGGATTTTGGCTGTACAAGTGGTGCAGATTGATATTCCACCAGGTAACATTTTTTTACCCTTGCAAAATTTAAAAAATAAAAGATAGCCACCAAAATGGCTGCCAAATTTGACAATTACCCATAATTCCTATAATATTTATATAGAACAATATTTTTTTGGTCTATACTATGGTTTAAGAAGTCAAACACATTGCCACCACCACCAAATGTCAGTTTCAGCCTCATATGGCTGTGAAAATCCAAAATGGCCACCAATATGGCTGCCAAATCTAGAAAAAAATCACCAATCTCTCATAATAGTTTACATAGAATGACAGCTTTGTCTCTATACTAAGGTTTTGAGAGGTCAAGCAAAATAGTGGCAGCACTAATATCAAAATCAACCACCTGGTAATGTAAAAAATGCAAGATGGCTGCCAAAATTAGATAAATCAGAAGAATTAGTGGCTGCCTCTAAAAGACTTGATCCATATATCTTGACAACGGAAAATCACAGAGACTTAATTTAGTCTCAAATTGTTCGGAATATACAAGTTTCTATTTGCTCTAATGTAACATTTTGCCAATAAGTAACAGCAAATGGCATTTCCGACCTTTGACCCTAGTTCAAATGGGCAAGGTTTTTCATCAGAATCATATTATATTTGTCCTTTAGGAAATTACAATGGAACACAATTGCACTACAGTAAACATTCACAAAAGTTAATAGACGCATATGAATATAAAATAAAAACAAATTACTTATAAACTACTAAATATATTTTGTACTGCAGCCAACTGTAAGTTGTTAATCAAACATTGAGTAAGGCAAAAATGAATTGGACAATCTTGAGGTTCTACACATTGAGGTTCTAAGTCATTATTTCTGTGCAGAAGGTTTTTTATTGAATTAAAATTCAACAAAGATAAAGGAAGCGCCGAAATAGGGATAACAAATATCACAGCAATATGAATCGCAACAACAGAATCAAGACAATGACACTGGTAAAAGGTGCATTTTATTGAGGCAATAGAAGGCGTTTTTGAAACATACTTTTCAAAAGCACCTTGTCAAAAAGGATTTGTTTTTGTTTTATGAAGATAATGCCAATTGGACTGTGAACACATGTTGGTTCAACAATCTTTGATTTCTAACATCACATGAATGTTTATGTTACGAGCAGTACGTTGAGAGCGGTCGGTGCACTGCACTAAACATTGTGTAAGCTTCATAGTAACACTATTTCCAATGGCTGCAATACGGAAGGATAGTTCACAGCGTGGCGTGCTAGACCTTGTTAATAATTATTGGACAGGGGTGATTATTGCTTTATTTCTACTGGAAATTCTTGTTTATTAACTGTTTTTTTTTCGGTTTGTAGAAGTTGATTTAGTGATGCTAAACTACATTCAGCAATTTAATCTGCTATTGTGGTGATAATTTGTATACACAGATATTCGAGAGTTAAGAAAATAAACACAGCATCGGTGAAAATAATAAAACAGTATTACTCACCCAGCTTGCACTTTCTCCTTTGTGAGGGATTCAATCATTTTTGTACCAAGATCATATATGGTCTCCATCTCTGTTGTTTTCAATGTTAGCTTGCCAACTTTAGCACCCTGAAATGTCAATAAATATAACACGATTTAAAAGAAATTCAGGAAAAACCTAAAAGATTAAATAAAACAGGGGAATAATAATACAGTAGAACCCCTCCTTTGGGACACCCCTATTCAGGGGACACTTTTCCGTGAAACGAAAGGCAATATATCTTTTATCACTATGGCTGACACCTATTAAGGGGACACCCCTATTAAGGGGATGGGGACACCTTCTGAGTGTGGCAAATGGTCAAATAACCCCTATTAAGGGGACACTTATTTTTATTTTATCATTGTATCACAACTACAGCAGTCTCAAAGTAAGAAAAATTCATTCAACTTACATTATTATATTTTAACATATATATTATCATATTTAACGCCTTTTTGAGCAATAAACCAGAATTTTGTCCACTGAATTCTTAGTTGGTATAGGTTATTGAATACTGTGTTACTTCATATAAAGCCAATCTGGTCAATTTTGACCCTTGACCATGGGGATTTCTTTTCCCTTGTTTTTCGTGTACTTTCATAGGATTCTAATACATACCATGCACCATTAATTCTAGGTCATTACTCGATTCATGCTACATTCATCCAATAGAAAGCTCAATATTTTAAATAAAAAGCGGAATATTTGGTCACTAACATTGCATCATGCAATAATATTGGGAACATTTTATTATTATTCTTTTATTATTTAGGCCTCTATCATTTATACAGCGCCATTTCATTGTAGATAAAAGTCGCTCCTTTTCCACTGGTCATTGGGTCCTCATGTTTTAAGTGTTGCTACTAGTAAACACTGCAGGAATAGGCAACCCTACCAGGTACAAATTTATACTCCTGGGTGGTAAGAACCCATGCAGCGATTGTTTGATGAAATTGGGAGGGCATAACACGTACCATACAGGCCTGTATGGTCTACCTACTGTACGAGCCCGACCAGATAGGTGATTACAGGAGAAGCAATGCAGATAAAGTGCCTTGTTTAAAGACCGAGCAAATTGCTTATACAACATATAAAACTATTGTTTTAATTACATTTGTGCTGATTTCATATTATAAAATTAATTGTACTGTATTTGCATTGCAAATTGTCGCTATAAATAAGTCCTAATTCTACTAATAAGCTGATTCCTTATGTTAATAAAAATAAAATTATGCAGAATGCATGTCATTGTTGTATAAAAACATGCCAAAAACCCCTATTAAGGGGACAATTTTGCATTTTTGGTTAGTGTCCCCTGAATAAAGGTACCCTATTCAGAGGACACCCTTATTAAGGGGACACTTTTTCTGGTGCCGAAGGCGTCCCCTTAATGTGGGTTCTACTGTATGTCAATTACTGTATAAAGTATTATATATGTGAAGTTCTTTGAGAAATTCTGTTGTATAAAGCAACAAAATAATATAAATTCCTAACATTACCATTACTAATATATAATTAGTGCAATTACACTTACCAAAAACAAAAATCATAAATGAACTATATGTACAATGTGCAATCCCATTAACTACTCACCGTTCCTGTGGCTGGTCTATCTATCTGGATTTCAACAACTTCACCTTCTATAATCTCTGTTTCCTCCCTTTAGAATAAGAAAAAAATTACAATATGAATTAAAAATTACTAACCATCAGGTCAACAACTTTTTATTATTGAAATATTACTTACAGAAATGTACAATTAAGTAGAACCCACCTTTGGGGCACCACTACTAAGAGGACACCACTTTTAAGGAGAAACATTTTTTGGCCACAAAATGAGGGAAAGTATATTTTTTAACACTATGGCTAACTCCTGACACCCCTATTAAACAGACACTTTTTTGGTCCCAAACATGTCCTCATAATAGGGGTTCTATTTAATGAAAAAAGAAAACATAGACTGCTTTGTATGTGAGTATCTGTTTTGCAATAAAAAAAATATACCCTAAATGAAACATTTTATACATGTCATAGAATATATCTTTCATGTAATTTAACATTTTATTTCCTTCAATTCTAAAGGCTGAAATAGCAACATTTATATTTATATTTTTTTATTTATATTTAAAGAGTTTGAAAAGATAAATTTACTTTATTCGAACACCGATTGACCTCCTAAAGGCCTGAGTGAGAGCCTCTGTCTTGCTCATCTCGAGTGAGTATATTTCACTACCAGCCATCGCTGTAAAGGGTGTATCTTGGCCGAGGGCTTGGGCCATACCTACAAAATAAAACATAACAATTGATATCAATTGGTTATTTTTTTTCTTTTTGGAGAAATTTTTTATTTGCTGAAATCCTGTTTATCTGGGATACCACATCTGGTACTGAAAAAAAGTTTTTTGGAAAGGGTTCTACAGAATGTATAGAGCAGCAAAAATACAAAGTTTTACTAGATTTAGCCATAATTGTTTAAAATCTACAGAATGCTGTCTAAAGAACACTGTGTTTTCTCTGAGTGTATGCTCATTAATGTAATCTTAATTTGTCAAGAATTTGTAAATATTAAAAAAAACCCATTTTTTTATAGTAACAATTTTAATGTGTTTCTAATAATATATTGTAGTTAGTCTTTAATTATATTTAAATTATATTTTCATGTTTTTTTTACAATTTTTTTTATAATATGTGATTTTTTTTCAATTGGTAAATTAGATTTTTTTTGTAAATTAATGTCCCAATTCAGTTACATTATTTTATTGTACTGTTAACTGAGATGACATTTTTGGTTGTATAAATTAACTAAAATATATTTCACATTATGAACGATTTCATGGACAAAAGAATCTTGCATGGTCATAGAAATCATACCCATTGCAATAGCAGTCTTGCCTGTCCCTGGCTGCCCAGCAATTAACACAGCTCTTCCAGCTATCTTGCCTTCCTGAAAAAAGTTGCATTAAACAAAACATGTTTTATCATAAAGAAATTTTTCAAACATGATAGATTATATAGTTTATAATTCAGACAAATGTTTAAACATATTTAGAATGTTTAGGAGGCAATTATCAGAGATACTATCAAATTTATGCCCACAAACCTTGTAGTTATTAGTATTTTTCTTATCAAGTACATTTTTTGGTGATGTCACACTCAGAATTTGGTTAACATACAATATGCACACATCATTTTTAAGATTACGACACCTTTTTCTCCGTATAAAAAGCGTATAACCTTCCCGCCCTGCTTCCATTGATGTACAGTAGGCTACATACACAACAGCCGTATTGTTAGTACAGTATTGCCTATAGTAAACAAGGTACAGTACATCCGTAAATGGCCGTATTTTCCTTGCAAGCGAATCGTTCTTATTTTAATAGATTTGTTTTCAAACTGTTTTTCCAGGTGCTCGGCTGTCATACATTACTGTGTCCTAAAACATTATTGAACTGTAGCCCTACAGTACATTACCTCCACTTAGGCTTACCCCCGCTACAGGCAAGGCAACAGAAGGTGATCAGCAAACATGCACCTACCTCCACAGGTGTTTATGTCAACATTTATTGTATATTGTTAGCTAACCAACTGCGCATATTCCTTGGTGAAAAATGAGACAAATAATGTCCTGGGGTTGTCCCTCATTTGCAGTACACGAAATTGAGTACTGTGTGACGCCATGGCCGGTTGCGTGTGAAGAGCAACACGTAAGGGTTCAATTAAAGTCAGGCTCCGGAGGAAAAACATTTTTTTGATATGTTGTAGAACTGATTTTTAGAAGACAGAAAAAAGTAGTTAGATCAAAAACTGAGCAACGGTGAATGAGATACAGATTTTTGAATATTTAAAAACTGGGGGAAAAGGTGTGAAAATGAGCGGTTACGCCCCTTTTCCCCCAGTTTTTAAATATTCAAAAATCTGTATCTCGTTCACCGTTCTCCAGTTTTTCGTCAAACAACTTTTTTCTGTCTTAGAAAAATCAGTTCTACAACATATCAAAACATTTTTTCCCTCAGGAGTCTGACTTTAATATTAATGTTATTGTTGTTGTTATTTATTATTATTTCTATCATGTATTTGTAAAATTTTGATATGAACTTGAGTAAAAAAATCAAGATTGAATAAGTGTTTTTTTGTCAATAAAGTTTATATATACTGTATTATGCATTCAGAATAATTAACCTTATAGCGACTGACAGTGATAAATATATAAATGCGAAGCAGCGTAGTGAACACCTATGAAATAAAACCATTAAGGATTATTGCTGCATTGCCTGTGTACACTAAGACCTTGGCATTTCTTTCTATCACGTGCCTCCCTACTGCCTGACTGTATTTGCTTTCTCTTAGTCAAATGGTCAAGCCTGAGATGGGGTTCAGAGAGGGGCGCCGTACAGTACCAATCGCCAAATATCACTGCCATGCTCGCTCTTTTGTTATGTTGATGGAACAAGTCTTCTCAGAAAATCATAATGTAATTTGGCTTACACTTATGTATGGGGTATTAAACTGCAGCACTTAAAATGTACAACATTGGTCATTTCGCTACCTGACCCACCCAAGGTTTTAATCATACATATATCTTGATGTTGCTGTACTCCCGAGGTCATCCAGGCATCTTAACAACCAACTGATAAAGAATTATGGAGCAATAAAGAATTAATATTATATTATTATCTCATTTCATATGCCCTTCTGGGCCTTGCCTATGTGGTCTAGGCTTCATTAATATTAATCAGTGCAAGATTCGTTAGGTTTGCTGTGTGCGTTCAGAGCTTGGCAGCCAGCAATGAAATATTCATCGCCATGTAAACACTAGGCAAGTTTATTCGCTGTGAATCAAATGCGTCGGTTGCCTTTCTGAGCTCTGATTGGTTGCAAAATTTTTTCGCTTCGCAAAAAGTAGAAACAGTTCGAACTACTGATTTTGCGGTAGCGAAAAGTTTCGATAGAAATGTGAATGTGCATGCGCATGAACCAACAATTTTGATTTGCGCGAATAAATTCACTTAGTGTAAAACCGGCTTTAAGAAACACTGTATAGATGTTCATGGTTTAGACAAAATTCATTATCAATTCACCTTGATCATTTCCAGCACTACACCAGCTGCTCTTCGAGCTGCCACTTGCCCCACCATGCCCTGAGAGACAGCTCTGGGTTCCAAGGCATCATCCAAACCTAACCCTCGTATGTGAGAGTGAGCACCAATCCTCTCAATACGTGTTACCTCACGAACCTCTTGAACTTTCTGTGCCGTGTTCTGTTAGAAAAAAAAAGAAAATAGTTGCTTACAATATAATTCTACACAGTCCTTCGCACCAATAGTGTTTTGATGTGCAGTGACATCTTGCTGCTTGTGAATCATATTGCGCAATGTGTGGAACGGTAAACTCCCATGCTGCACGGTGAATAAAATTACAGGGGGTTCTCAACTATATTTGAACAAAGTTTGTGGGCTGAATCAATTTGAAGGTCCACAAGCAGCTAAGTGAAATAGGGTCTGGAGTGGGGTGTGGCCACTTTGGCTTGTTCATCATGTGATGAAGGCATTCTCGACATCCAAAGTTCATTCTTTAATTATAATAATTATTTATACAAGGGGTCCGACATGTCCGACTGTGAGGGGTCTGATGGAAGGGTCTTAGCCAAGTGGCTGATGCAGCCTCGGTCGATGGCCCGGAATAAAAACTCCCTTTTAGGGGTCACTGGTTGGGAGAGTTTTTACAGTTTACCTTAGGCCTAGCCCAGACTTGGCCTACAGTAGGCTAGGGTGTCCATAAAATGAAGACCGAAGACCCCTATTTTTTCTCTTTTATTTTGATGACAATACAGCAGGCTGTCACAAAATCAAAATTATGAAACTTTTTGGGCATCTGTTTGTGAAATTTTCACGCTGCTACCCTCTAAACGAAAGTAAGGCTTGGCTTAGCGGTATGTGTATTTTGGGGGCCTACAAAAACCTTGAATATTTCATTCATAACTTGTTCCATGTTAAAATAAACAGTAGGAATGCTGTAGAGCGACGGATATGTGCAGCATCGGTCATTTGGTAGTGACACCAACATAGGATGGATGAGATAATTAAGGGTCTTCGTTTTATACTATAGACACCATATGGGTGTCAACAAAACGAAGACCGAAGATCCGAAAAATGAAGACCCACATTTTTTTTCTCTCAAACTTGATGAAATATATGGTGCCTATAAAACGAAGACACTTGAAAATTTCCCAGACGTCCCCAAAAAAATTTCGTAAATTTGATTTTGTGACAGCCTGGCGTATTATCATCAAAATAAAAGAGAAAAAATAGGGGTCTTCGTTTTTGGGTCTTCGGTCTTGTTTTATAGACACCCGCCTAGAGTAGACCTACCCGGGCCTTAGTACAGTGGTCTGAAATGCCATGTGCTTTTGACTATGTATGGGATTGGCAGTCAAAATAACATTAAATCTGCTTTTTTAGGGAAATTATTTTTTTTTAATTTCTTGATTAGATTGGATTGGATTTATTTGGTGTAAACACCAAGGATAGCCCACGAAAGTCTAGAAGAAGACTTATTTCCAGTAGGGTCCTTCTGGTGGTGATTGGGCAGTACACCGGGAGACAATCCCCTACTCTTTTCCAAAGAGTGTACTGCGTTATTTAACGTGCACATGGGCCATAATGCACACGGGACCAACGGCTTAAACGTCTCATCCGAAAGATGGTGTGCTATGTAACTTGTATTTCAGCCCTCTAGCTGAAACACAAGGAGAGGCAGTGATGGGAATTGAACCGGGGACATAGAGATCTCCACGGTTTATTCAGCGCACACACAGTGGCTACCACCAGATTAGCCGACTGAGCTAAGCTGCTCTCTTCTGATCCGACGACGTGCGTCGGACGTCAGGAGGGTCCAGGGCTGTAAATTCCCCCCACCCTGCCGCCACTACTGATCTGACATAGGCCTAGGCTAGGCCTATTCCCTCAGGCTTCTGAATGAACTAGCTAGGCCTACGACCACCAGAAGTGGTGGTGCTTGGCAACCAGTCCAGTCGTCTCCTCAACAAGCGTGGCTCACCACTCTACAAAATAACAGTCCTGACCTGGCGTAGTTATTAATACTTTGTAAATAAATGTTTTTATCGAGCAAAGAAAATTCGTATTATAATTAATAGTGTTATTCAAAGACAAACACTAATAAGAAGTATCATTTATAAAGCTATTATTTAATGTAAAATATACCTACCGACGCTGCCATTTTGAGTTTTGTGCCAGTTATTGCCAAACTAATGGGGGCGCTATTTTGGTCTGGCTCAATTACAAAGTGATGTTGTGATTTGTTGTCAATTTTGTACAGTAGGCCTAATCGTAACCACCCGTGTTTTTAAAATAAGTTACAAGAAACTCTAACCCTACCTGCCATATTAGTCAGCTTGTCATATATATCTTTCCAATTTACTTTAAATTCTTCATTAACATATTAATTTGTTGAATTAAAATTGTGCATACCCGATAAGTAACTACATTTATTTATTTATTTATTTTATTTCTCTTTCTTTTTTCTTTCGCAAAATAAACTTACTCTCAACTTGGCACCCAGCTCGTGAACAGGGGAATTGGAGACCACCTCCTACACCACCCTTAAAAAAAAAAAAAAAAAAAAAAAAAAAAAAAAAAAAAAAAAAAAAAAAAAAAAAAAAAACAGTATAAATACATAAGCCATAGAGGGTGAAACGAATTAAAATAAAGAAGAATTCTTATTGACGAAGATGTTGTAAATCTTCGAAGTTTAAATTAATTTCAGTTTAATTAAGGTTAAATAGGCATATACAGTAATTTTAAGTAGTAGGTCTAATTTAATACAAATTAAAGTTTTCGTTCTTAATAAACCCATCACTAAATGATATAATTTTAGGGCATAGGCCTAAACTATCACAGGAGGCCTACTGTTACGACAACCATTGAATCACTCTAATACCCCATTCAGACTAGCATCGCATTGCGATCGGTTGTAGCAATTGCGACACCCAATCGCAAATTAAAATCGTGTCTGAAAGCTCACCAATAGTAGTCGATATGTAATCGATATCACAATTGTTACCCGTTGCAATTGGGTGCTACAATCTTTATTACTCCCGATTACCACGGAATCCGATCGCAACGAATCACAACGAATTCCACAGGCACTGTTTGGCTAAGGTCAGTCGACATGGGCCTAGCCACCGGAGGCCTAGGTCCTAGAATGTAAAATTAGTTTGTTTTGGTCTGAATGCGTTCGTTGATTGCGATCGGGAGTAATCAGTTTTGTACGATGGCCCACAAGGACACACTGCAAAGAAAAAGAAATGCTGCAAACAAAAAAGAAATCATGGAAACAGAAAAAGAAACGCTGCAAACAAAAAAAGAAATGATGCAAACAAAAAAGAAATGATGCAAACAAAAATAGAAACGATGCAAACAAAAATGGAAACGATGCAAACAAAATAGAAAACACCAGCAAACAAAAAAATAAAACGCTGAAAACAAAAAAGAAATGCTGCAAACAAAAAAGAAACGCTGCAAACAAAAAATAGAAACACTAGAAAACAAATAAAGAAGCGCTGCAAACAAAATAAAAACACTAGCAAACAAATAAAGAAACGCTGCAAGCAAAAAATAAAAACACCAGCAAACAAAAGAAAAAGCTGCAAGCAAAAAAGGAAATGCTACAAACAAAAAAATGAAACGCTGCAAACAAAAAAAGGAAACCCTGCAAACAAAATGGAAAAGCCTTTGCGCGCGCGCATTTCATACTAATTGACAACAGACTGAGGTCAGGTCAGATGCGCTGCAGGGCTACATCATAGTGTCAAGCCATGTTTTGCTCTAACTGTGGAACAAAAAGGGGTGTCTATAAAACGACGACCGAAGACCCAAAAACGAAGACCCCTATTTTTTTCTCGTTCATTTTGATGATAATACGCTTTGCTGTCACAAAATCAAATTTACGACATTTTTTGGGCGTCTGTTTGTGGAATTTTCAAGGGTCTTCGTTTTATAGACACCCTATATGGGTGTCTACAAAACGAAGACCCGAAAAACGAAGTTTTCGGCTCTTCGGTCTTCGTTTTGTAGACACCCATATAGGGTGTCTACAAAACGAAGACCCTTAATTATCTCGTCCATCCTATGTTGGTGTCACAACCAAATGACCGATGCTGCACATATGCGTCACTTACCACATTCCTACTGTTGATGTTATCATGGAACAAGTTTATTGAATGAAATATTCAAGGTTTCTGTAGGTCCCAAAATACGCGTACCGCTAGGCCAAGCCTTCGTTAGAGGGTAGCAGCGCCAAGACGCGCTCAGCCATCAGCCGTGGACATACGACATTGGTTGTCGCTTTGGAACTGGAATAAAGGGTAAATCATTCAATTGACTCAGATTCAGGCAACAATGTGCTAAGAAGACGAATACTATATATATACATAACACGAAGTGATTTAAAAACATTATTTTATCACGATTGAAAGGAAAAAAAGTGGGTCTTCGTTTTTCTGGTCTTCGGTCTTCGATTTAGACACCCATAGGGTGTCTATAAAACGAAGACCCTTAAGTATTTCTTGATATTCCTCATTTTATTCCGATAAAATAATGAAATAAGTACTTATTTTATGATGATTTTGAAATACTTTCAATAAGATAATTTAGAAATAACTGGAGGTCTTCGTTTTTCGGTCTTCGTTTTGTAGACACCCATGATGTCTATAAAACGAAGACCCTTGAAAATTTCACAAACAGACGCCCAAAAAATTTCTTAATTTGGATTTTGTGAGAGCCTGGCGTATTATCATCAAAATGAAAGAGAAAAATAAGGGGTGTTCGCTTTTGGGTCTTCGGTTTTCGGTCTTCGTTTTATAGACACCCAACAAAAAGTTCAGAATTTGGAAAATTTTGCCATTCTTGTGGTGAATCTTTAATGGAGGACTCAACTTCTAATATTAATACACATCTAGTTTCTTTTCTGTTTCCATGATTTCTTTTTTGTTTGCAGCGTTTCTTTTTTGTTTGCAGCGTTTCTTTTTTGTTTGCAGCATTTCTTTTTCTTTGCAGTGTGTCCCTTGTGGGCCATCGTAGTTTTGGATTACCACTGATTACATCGCAACCGATCGCAACAGAGTGTAGTCTGAATAGGGTATCCGATTACATCGCAACCGATCGCAAGAGAGTGTAGTCTGAATAGGGTAGTCGATATTTGAATTGACGATATTCATTCAAAATATATTTATATAAACCATAGCCGTCGGAAGTATTTTGCAAGTGCAATCTGGCCATTATTACGGTACAAGCGGAGGGGGTGGTGTTGACTGATTTGCCGCTCGTAGGCTCGACTTGGGGGAAGGATTTTGAAGGGGATTCTCCTCTCCCAAATGAAATTTGTTAAGGAATATTACCTCTGGATGGCCGGAAATGGCACTCTAAGACTATGATAGACATGTGTTGGCCTGGTGTGGTCCTTTATATTGTTTATGCTTAGGTTAGAATATTTATTAATTTATATATTTTCATGAATTTTAAATAAATGACAGAATAAACAGGATTAAAAATCTAACTAAATACAGTTTTAACAAACCCCATACAACACTGAGAACTTGTGTGGGAAAATAAAATCCACACAGTACTGTGAATCTGTTTGAAAATATAAATAAATATAAATAAATAAATAATTAATAAGAGAAAGTAGTCCAGTCTTTGGTTTTGTTTGTTTTATTTGTTTCTCCACATTTATTTAGAAAACTTACTATCGATGTAGACTTGATGTCTACTACGTGAACCTAATGTTTATTCTACGCCTGTTGATAATGCAACCTTTCTCAGAATAAACTGCGTTGATATATAAAAAGCTGCACTCTTTCTGTGATATACGTGTGTTCCACCAGTGTGGTAAGGCCTACATTATTTCAGTGTACATTTCTAAGTAAAGTGCCGAGAGTTCAATCAATAATAAATACGGACTTTGGTCATGTTATATACCGGTACATAATAACAGAAAAGGCTGCGTATTTAGGAGATTGGATTCCTCTCTATAATGTCGTTCTATTTTTATTTTAGAAAGCGGGCCTACTGGTAAACAATTACTACGAAGAGCACTAATCAGGTATGAATGTTGATCTCAACTATTTAATTACAGATTATTTGGACGGTAATATTAAAAAAGAAACCTTTTCGAAAATATGTACAGGTATAACGTATGTGGAAGTGGGATGAGAAGCTATCTCCATGATCTCTGCATTGTCCATAAACAGGGTATTAAAGGTGACCTTTAAGTCTTACAAACGTAAGAGTGTAACAGGAAGAAATTAGAGATAAAGTAGAGTGATAAGAACGGTCCACTACAGTAGTTTAAGACCCGTAACATCAGTCATGAGTTGGCGTGTGAGTATTTAGATATAGAGTAAGGGAAAAATTGCACCTCAAATGGAGAATGCCAGAATATTAGAATTTAGAAGTAATTACTAAAAATATCTCGACGGTTCAGCACGCACACACACACACACACACACACACACACACACGCACACACACACACACACACAGTGGTTACCGCTAATTTAGATGACTGAGCTAAGCTGTTACCAGTCATCATGGAGGTTACAGAAAATTATAAAAAGGGATCTGTTGGGTCAAAAGTCAAAAATAAGGCTCAAATTTTCGTATTACAGTAAACAATTTTAAAACAAAACAATTTACACACAGTTCGTTCAGATATGGAAATCCTGCAAATCATAGCGTAGCATTGAATTGCACGTACTACTTCGGTGTGAAATATACCAAGGATAACCCACGAATGTTCAAAGATTTATTTCTGGGTCCTTCTGGTGGCGAACTTGGCAGTATCAACACTCACCACTTAACTATTCGGAATTATCTAAGTGTATCATAGTTTAGAAGATTTTGCATTTCATCAGTGGAAATGTTCATAACACTATAGGTTGAGGCCTCGGCCATAAAAACCGTGGATGGACATAACTGTGGAATTAATTTTTGAAAATCGCTTGATATTAATCACAAAATAAATTCGGATACTTTGGATAGCCCATCCTAAGTTACACTGTGTTTAATGCAATTAGTTCAATAACTGTTACATTTTTTCAATACATATGTCACAGGTCAAGATGAACAATTTCAAAGATGGAGAATTATAAAGTATTAATTGTAGGCGATACATCCACTGGGAAAACATGTCTGTTACAACGATACGCAAGAGGCGTTTATACGCATACAATACAAACTTTAGGTAAACAAATAATTCTTACGTTATATTTCAATATAGGCACACTCAGTACTTAGGCCTATATCATAAAAACACCTGTTAACACAATAATCAACACTGTGCATAATACATTACTATTGCAAGGGCATTTGGTTTAGTCTCCTTTATCTGTTTCCAGATTTACAAATATTCAATATCAATAGCGTTATGTTGTTATTGCTTGTTGCATCACCAGGTGTTTTTAATCAGAAACTTTAAAGTAATACCCAGTACAGATCATGTGGCTTACTGACCAAGTCTTTTGAGTTAATAGAGAATTCGAAACTAAAGAATGCATTATTTATTTATGTTACATTTTATATTTTGTTATCATCATTGGTAATAGGCCATGGCAAGATAGATATGAACATGTGTCTAATTACTATTCTTGCTGAACATATGCGAAAAACGGTAATAAATAAAAAATAACTAGGCATTTAGAAATACACTACATAAGCAAAATTGTTGGTCTTTATTTTGAAATTAATAATCTTTAGGTTTTTACAATGTACTCCCTGTATTTCCTTCTTTTTTTCTTTATTCGATTTCTCTACTTTTACATATGGAAAAAATACAATATTGACATGGAGAACAGAACCCGCATAGACATAAAAGTCCATAAATCGCTGGTCCATGTATTTATATTTAGCAACATTAAAACAATTAAAAAATGTGGAAAAATGTAAATTGCATTCAAATTTAATTTTAAGAGTGCTATTTCATGCCTAAATAAATAATAATTTCCTGCTTAAGTAGTAATTGCCGCAAATATTTTCTGTGGGGTATGCAGGTCTTTGGGAAATTAGTAGAGTAGCGTCCCTAACAACTAGTGATGCATAGTTCGATTACGGTTGGGGATGAGGGTCATTAGGACCTGGATGGAGTAACGTTCCTACCCCGTGATGCATAGTTAGTTTATTAGGGTTGAGGATATGCGTGTCATTAGGACCTTATGGGAGTAACGCCCCTACCCCACAATGCATATTTCGTTTAGGGTGGGCTATTCGGGTAATTTGACCTTAGCGGAGTGACCTCCCCCCCCCCATGATGCATAGTTACCATTTTATCGTATTTCTGTGTTTTATTGTTTGTGCGGATATTGGCCCAAGATAGTACTTGTAGCAATCCAAAAAATTGAATTAATTTGATTGACGTAAAAGTACGAATACCTCAGCCCCAATTATGGCTGAAGTTGTCTAGACCCTCCATCTGATTAATTCCCAGGGCTCCCTCTATTTCTAATTCCTGGATCTGCTACAGAATACAATAATTTGTGTGTCATTTTGATCGATTTTGATAATCTATAACATTGCACTGTATTAAAATGTACTGGGTTGCAGGAATAGATTCTGCGATCAGGACTGTGAGTGTTGACGGGCGGTGGATGAAGCTAAAAATATGGGACACTGCTGGTCAGGAGAGGTTCCGATCAATCACTCGCCCTTATTATAGAGATGCCATGGGTGTTCTTCTTATTTATGGCCTCACTATTGGGAGACATTCAGTGCACTTGCTAATTGGTTGAATGATTATAAAGAAGGTAAAGTACTTATTCAAGAAGAAACGCACACGTTATCTACACACACACACACACACACACACCCCCACACACACACACACACACACACACCCACACACACACACACACGCGCGCACACACACATGCAGAGGTTATACGAAGTTGTTACACGATGATATAACAAAATATTGCAAGGTATAACCTCCGGAGCCTGCTATAAGAAGTACAATATTTCATTCTTGTGTTTCCCCAGACCATTTTTGTTATTTTATGTTGCTTTTATTTAAATTAATGAAAAATAAATAAAACAAAGCTAGCCAACAACTTCCTTCTTACAGCTTTTATAATGTGACCAAAGACATTTTCCTGGTTGCCAAATTACACTTAAATAAATCAATGCTGGTTATCAGTATAGATGAGTTTTAAGCGTTCTTGTGTTGTAATCAATGCTCTTCTTTTTTCTAAAAAATGTACAGCATACCCCAGAAAACGTTCCGTTGATAATAGTCGGAAATAAATGCGATTCTAATGAACGAGTGATATCAACTGAAGAGGGATACCAGGCAGGGACGTATCCAGGGGGGGGGGGGAGCCGTGGGAGCCGCGGGAGCCGCGGCTCCCCCCCTTTGTACACAGCGTTAAAATTTTTAAGCTTATTCTTGAGCTAATACAAATTCTTTCCTGGGATCACTCAAAATGAATACTTCTAAAACATGTAAATATGCATCATTACACGTTATACATAGGCCTAATGGAACACATAGGCCTAAGCGTGATTTAAAAAAATCTTAAATCCATAAATTTCAGGCCAGGGCTTTTAAGATAGAAATGCGATACTGTGGTTCAATTTCATTTTTATCCTTTTCCAAGTTTCTTTACATTTTTGTTTAATAATACTACTACTAATAGTAATAATAATAATAATAACAATGATGATGATGACGATAGTAATAATTGATAATAATATTAATAGCAATAAAAAGTGAAAAAAATTGTGTTAAATGCGAAAAAAAAGTTGTGATTTGTTGATCATAATATAAGTATATATAGTTAAGCTTAGTAAGCTATAATTAGGCCTAAGT